AGGAGAGGAAGGGAATATGATTGTAAGCCACTTTGAGACTCCTTATGGTAGAGAAAGGTAAAAAGGTAAAGGTTCCCTTGCTCGAAAGCCAGTCGAGTCCGACACTAGGGTTGCGGTGCTCATCTCCGTTTCAAAGCTGAAGAGCCAGCGCTGTTTGAAGACGTTTCCGTGATCATGTGGCCGGCATGACTAAACACCAAGGCACATGGAACGCTGTTACCTTCCCACTGAAGTGGTACCTATTTATCTACTTGCAATTTCTTGCTTTCGAACTGCTAGGTTGGCAGGAGCTGGAACTAGAGACGGGAGCTTACTCCGTCATGCGGCACACTCGAGTCTCGAACTGCTGAACTACTGACCTCCCACAGCCTGCAGTTCAGCGTCTTAACCACTTGAGCCACCGCAGCTCCTATGGTAGAGAAAAGCAGAGTATAAAAACTACTCTTCTTTTGAGGCATGCTAAGTGCAGAGTGAGGCATGCAAAGTGTCTGCATTTTCAGCAATGAGAGTTATATAGAGATAATCATTTCCATGTGGAAGCAGCCATAGATGAGGTAGTCTCATGTTATTACCTCTTACTATTAACTTGGGAGGTAGGTTAGACTGAGAAACAGTGACTGGCTCAGTGTTACACAGAAAACTTGGTGGCCTAGGCAGAGATTTTAATCTAGGTCTCTCTAGTCAAAGTCCAGTGGTCTAACCACTGTCTTCAATGGAATTCACTTTTCGATACATTTTTAGGCTGAAATATCTAGCTGTCAGAAATGTCTCATATCTCTTTTTTCACACAAATGGATGAGCCCATGTTTGTAATTGCACCATTAAAATAAATAGTGCATGCTAATAATAAATTACATATGCAAATTAGGAAAAAAAGTACAACTTTTATTTTGGACACTTAAATTATGTCAAAAATAATTATGTTATGAGAAAATGCACAATTAATTATTTCTAAAAGTGGCAATTAATTTTGTAAGTCCAAATTTATAGGCACAGTTAAAACTGCAAAATAAATTAAGTTTGTCACCAACTTTTATTTATAGGCATGAATTAGACTATTTCAATTGTCTAGACGATAAAGAGAACTGATAATGCTTGTAGGAACAATATAAAACACAAAGGGATCAAATTCTGTCCAAACACCTCACATGATTAATTACTTTGCAGACTTAACTCTTTACAGCTTGAAATAGGACTCCTCCCCAAAAAACTATTACTGATATAGAAAATATATTTTATAGTGCAATCCTAGGCAAAGTTACGCCCTCCTAGGTGACTGAAGTCAGTAGGCCTTACTCTGCTTCAGGTGGTAGTGCAAGCGACACTCGAGCAGCAGTTGGTGAACAGGTTGATGTAATGGCACACAGCACCTCTCCAGAATGCTTATCATATACCTTCTATGGAGATGAGAAAATATGAGGTGAGAAAGCAGACTTTCAAAAAAATTAGCAAGGACAGGATAGGAAATTTACAGGAAAACAATTAGGTGAAGTGGTTCCAGAAATTATACGTTTCGTAGCATTATTGTTGTACATTATGCTTTCAGATACAGAGTAGAACAAGTGGGAACCTGCAAGGACTTGCAGGAGGCATCTCATTTTCTGTTCCTCCACTATTTCCTCATCTTTCCCTTTCCTGAAAGCCCCATAGCCTCTCCCCTTTTCCTGCTTCCTTCTCTCCTTCTAGAGTTGCCACCCTCCAGGTAGAGCTTGGAGAGGAATTGTAATAGATCTCCCAACTACAAAGATGAGTTCTAATATTACGGTGCCAGCTCCATGTTGGGAAATTCCTAGAGATTTGGGGATGGAGCCTTGAGAGGGCAAGGTTTGGGGAGGGAACCTACTTCAGAAGGCATAATGCCATAAAGTTCACCCTCCAAATCAGCAATTTTCTCCAGGGGAACTGAGCTCTGTCATCTGGAGAGTAGTTGTAATTCTGGGTGATCTCCAGCCCCCACCTGGAGGCTGGAAACCCTAGTTCCCCTGAAAGTAGCATTATACTTTTCTGAGGTTCCTCCCCTCCTCAAACCCCACCCTCCCCAGGCTGCACCCCCCCAAACACAAATCTTTAGGAATTTCCTAACTTGGAGCTGTCAAACCTATTTCCTTCTCACCCAAAAGCCAACCTATCTTCACCTGCCCCTCTGTCTTAAGAATCCCCCCCTCCCGGCAGCCATAGAGTTTTCCCACGGATGACTGTGGCCCCACCCCCAGCGTGCCCGGCGTGGTCACGTCACTTCCTGATGCCGTGCACGTCGGGGTGGAGTTCCCCTCGGGGCCCGATCCGGCGGCGGCGGGGACTTGGCAAGCCTAACAGGAATACATGAAAATGGTATGGATACAAAATCATCAGTCCAATGCAGATAGATACAAGAAAGAACGTAAGCAGAGACATTGGCAGTGCTGAAGCATGAATAAATAAAGTATAATTCTAAACTAGTTTTACACCAGTAGAGGACACATTAGATAGTGGGGAGATGAACCACAAATGATGGAAATATGTATTTAAAACAAAAGGCCACTAATATGAGAGCAAACGTAATGTATATTAGCCAATCTAAATGTTAAAATACAAACTGCCACCCTACCACCCTTCTGTCCTTCTAGTTTTAGCTCAATTTCTTAGCAAGCAAGTTGATACAGTTTCATAGGTACCTATCCAAGGATCTAGAAAGGTTGCAGAGGGAGGACTCTCACAGCTTGTGAACCTCTCAGCCCTCAGACTCCTAGGAAGAAGGAAGAGGAGAGGACACCCTCAGAGCATGAGGACCTTAAACAGAAAATGCTATTTCTGCTCAAAAAGTAAAGCTGTTTTCAAATCTGCTTTCCTTATGGACTTTTCTACATTTCCATTGGACAGGAGTGGTACCATGGCGGCACATCACTCCTAAGAGGTGGATATTGAGGCATAATTTAATTTTACCCTCATTCATTGTTTACTTTGGCACCCAGGGGACTGCAAAACCCCATACCAATAACATCTTCCCAGAATCACAAAACATGTTGGTCTGAGCTCTTCTTATTGGTCATGAAACTGGTCTTCTTGTTTGCTAGAACTGCAGGTGTTCACCTGTGTCCCAGGGATTTTTGCTTTCTCAGCTATCAGTAGTGCATTCTGAAGCTTTCCAATTATGAGTTTAAGGCTGGGGTTCAAGGAAAAGTACTCTTGAACAGGGGTCATTTCGTAGAAAAAGAGCTAGGGGAACTCATTAGCATAACTCATTAGCATATGCCACACCCCCTATTGAGGAATTGGAAGTTAAAATTACTGAATTAGCCGCCACATTAATAAACAAAACTCTGTTAGCCTTTGGCTGGCTTCATTTTGTTCTCCAAAGCCAAACTTGTCTGTTATTCCAGTTACTCTTACTGTGTCCTTAACTCTGTAAAGTATTACTTAAAGCTCTGGCGTAAGTTTTATCTTTCTTGATTCTGAGTAAAATTATAAGATCTGTCTGGAAACTCACAGTAGATCTGCAACAATGTATTAGCTTTCTTTTTTTTCTTTTTTTTTTAAAAGGTAAACCTGTAGCTCTTTCTGATATGGATTTGTAGGAGGAAAGGTTCAGGCTGCATCATTTTCCTTACAACTCTGCAAGGATAATGGTTAGTAACTTTTAAAAATGAAAGCTGGGAACTAGTAGATTGGGGTGTCATTTGTTATGAGGGCTGAATCTGACATAAATGAGACCTTGTTGGGCTGGGCCAAGTGTGTCATAAAATGTAATGCCAGGTGGTGGAGATATAAACTTTATAAAGGATACAAACAGAAAGGTTTTTTTTTTACTTAAAATAAAAACATGCTTAAAACATTGTCACTCTTGCAATATTTGTTTATTTAACAGTGTCTGATAACTGACACCTCTTGCTCTGAATTATTGCATCAAAATGTGGTTCTCATGGTGTCTCAGCAGCTGCTTGTCTTAGCCTAGCTGGCAAAGTTAATGTCCCAGTCAACACACCAGTTTCTGGGCTCCTTCAGCTAAATCCACAAATTTCCCCAAAGCCATTGGTGCAATCACTCAAAACAGGATCAAAAGTCTAGCAATCCATACATATCATGTATGGTCAAACACCATTGAGATCCTCTAATGGCAGGGGTTTTCTGCTGTATAAGTCCATCTGAACAAGCTTGAACAAGTTTTAGGCTGTAGCAATAGATTGATGTCATAATGTTATAACAATGTAACAAATTCTGGTTATTTAAAAAGTCCTTGGGCGGAAATGGTTGCTGCTCTATTGCCTCTGTGAACACCTGTTCACTCACAGCAGCAAATCCTGCACAAAGAATGGTTTCTGAAAGGATGCTCTGGTCCATAGAGTTGCCAACTTGAGGTTAGGAAATTCCTGAAGATTTGGGGGTGGATTGTGGAGGGCAGGGTTTGGGGAAGGGAATGACCTCAGCAGGGTTAGGGTAACCAGCTCTGGGTTGGGAATTTCCCGGATTTTGGGGAGTGGGAGCCTGGGGAGGATGGGGTTTGGGGAGAGTAGAGCTCTCAGGAGAGCATAACACCTTAGTGTCCATCCTCTAAAGCTGCCATTTTCTCTAGAACGGTTCCCCTTTTGTCTAGAGACCATTTGTAACTCTGGGATATCTCCAGGCCACACCTGGAGGTTGGCAATCCTAGCTCTGGAGTTTAGTGATAATACTTTGGATACATACTAAGGAAAACGTGATGCTTTGGGAAAGCAAGCCGAATAGCAGGGACGAGTTAGACTGGTTCTGCATGTTTGTCGGTGTATGTGAACGAGTACAATCTGCCCCTCTGCAGTACCAGGCTGCCACTGTGCTGGGGAACGGAAGAAAGTTTGGCGCTCCCTTTCTTTTCTCTAGACAAGTGAGAAGGAAAGCATCCCAAAGCCGTCGTCAAACAGAGGACCTCGAAGGGAGAGCGCTTTGCCGCCCGCTAAGAAAAGCTGCTGTTGTCGACTCCGTGAGTCGTCGCGTGGCTGAGGCCCCGTTGTAACCTGAGCCACGAAGCTGTCTGGCGCTCCTTCTCCCTGCCAAGGAAGGAGGGCTTACCCGTCTATGCTTGCAGGGGCGGGGCTAGCAGTCAGATGAAACGCGAGGAAGTTTCCAAACACCGCCAGGCCGGGTTTCCTTCACAGTTGCCGCCATTATGCCAGGTTAGTACGCCCCTCTCCCTGAAGGAGTAGCGGAGGGAAGGGACGGAGAGCCACACTGAGAGCTGGCTGCAGGGGGCGCACAGGCTGCAAGACTGTCTGGGAACCGCCTCCGGGGTAGGAAGGAGTAGCAAATGGGGAGCTTTGAATGTCAGAAGGGAGGGAAGGTAATGATACCTTTATCTTTGAGACGTCCCCTGACCTGTTAGCATGGCTCTGCCTGGTTGCTGTGGATGGGAGTGGAGTGTTGCATTTCGCTTCTTGCCAAGCCGCCGGTTCCTGGCCCTATTTACTCGGAAATGAGTCCCATGCTTAACAGGAGTTTACTCCCTCCCCAAAATAATAAACGCATAGTGTCGAAGACATGCACAGTTTAGGTTTACTCGGAAGCAGGTTTCATTCAGTTCACGATAAAGGACTATAATAGGCGGATTCGTCGGGATGCAATGCATATTTACTGGAATTAAATCCTACAACGTTTAACAGGGTTTAGGGAGCAATCCAAAGCAGTCAACTTGGAAGTAAGACCCTTTTTAGGAAAGTATTCCTATGATTGCAGCCTATATGCATAGGATTGCATGCAAACAGAAGGGGTCCCGTCGGACAAGTTCACTAGTGCAAAGTCCTTCGGGTCCAGTGCAAGGCTGTACTGCAAGGCAAGAACGTGTCTTTTGTTGTTCTGGTAAACATGTGGTGACTTTTCCATCCTCCCCGCTTGAAATAGAGCCTTGAATTTGGAAGGATGCTTTTAGTCTTTCAGAGACAGACTATTAACCCTTCAGTGGCTCCTTTAGCACTTAATGGAGTCACATTGTTATCTGTTTAATTTGTGGGTGTAGCCCAATGTCAAAAGTTATTCTTGTATTTCATCCACTTGAATAATTCCGAAATGTTAAGCATACTATATTGCAGGATCCTATGAATAATAAGAATGGGGCTCTTTTAACTGCTGAAGTGCATAAAGATGGAATAAATTATGTCAAGTGAGTCATGCGGTGGGCCTGTGTGTGAGTCACTAGCACTGATGCCAGAGCCAGTCTAATATTTTGAGCAAACGTTACTTGGAGAAGCTTTGAGGCATCCAAGTTTGTTTTAAGCATGGCAAAAGGCTCTTATACACTTGTATTTGGTCATTCATTTAATCTCTGGCCTTGTCGTTCAGGCTGTTCTAGGGAGGGTGAACTTAAAACTACTCAGCTTTGCAATTGGGGTAAAACAGGCACACAACCCCAACCACTCCAAAGGCCACTTTTACATTTTCATTAACTTCATTCACATCTTTCTCTGTGCCCATCATAGTCTGTCTCTCTAGCATCACTGGTCTGTTGAATCCCTTTCAACCCTCCCTTGTCTTTTCTACACTCCATTGCTTATGTTCTCTGCACTGCCACTCCCAGAATTTTTTTCTCCTCATCTCACAGGTCTGTTTGTACTCACAGTTTCTTCTTCTTACTCTCTCCACCTCAGAGTACACCCTTACTTCTCTCCACATCCCTTTCCCTGTTTCTCTCTTTCTTCCCTCAGCCCCTTGTTTGGTTCCCTCATTACCTGAAGCAGTGACAGCACAGGTATGGCAAAAACAAAACAAAAACCCAACAACTTGCCAACAATTCCACACAACTGTTCAAATATGGCTGCAATAGGACATGCTGTTGAGGCTTTCTATATGGGATCACAGGGTTCCAAGGTATCGGAGGCTCCATAGCTAAAACTATATACAGCTTTGCAGGATGTTGCTTTGTATGAAGTCATTGGTTTCTCCTGTGCTGTTGGAACATCTTTTAGTTGTTCTACAAGTACAGAAGCATAGGCTGTAAGCTAGCATATCAAGATCTTTAGATTGTGCGCTTGTACAGTTCAAAAGAATATACTGGCTGACCTGTACTAATATGCATTAAATGGCATTTGTTCTTACTGTGAGCTACAGTAATATCATAGAGGAGATCAGAGTTACTTTCCCAAAAATAGCTGCAGGGTTTGAGTCACCCATACGATACAGATGCTTCAAATGGAAACATATTTTAAGTCTTGTACAGAAGCAATGCTTTGGGCTAAGTAGGGGGAAGACAACAGTTGTTCCAGTGCAGATCAAAGTCAAGTGCTTTTTAATGCTATTCTGAATTAATTGGGTATTTTTAGTGTGCCTGGAAGTGGTTTGCTGACTTGGTGCTCATGGATAGTCCTTTGTTATTTCTAAATACTGACCTTCAGAGCTCCTGTTTCCTTGAGCTGATGCCTGCGTGATTCACATGGCTGGTTGCCCAAGGTGGAGCCTTTCACGTCTAGGCTGTCACTTCAAATTCAGCATAGATCATTGGAGACTAAAATTTTTATCAGCATCTTCCAGCTGTTTGTTAATGAAAAGCCATTCTAGAGCCTTGCACAGTGTTGCTGTGGACACATGTCTCCTATTAAGAAAGGCTTCTTTTGAGAGAGCCAGTTTGGTGTAGTGGTTAAGTGTGCGGACTCTAATCTGGGAGAACCGGGTTTGATTCCCCACTCCTCCACTTGCACCTGGCTGGATGGCCTTGGGCAAGCCATAGTTCTGTTAAGAGCTGTCCTTGAAAAAGAGCAGTTTCTGTCAAGAGCTCTCTCAGCCCCACCTACCTCACAGGGTGTCTGTTGTGGGGAGGGGAAGGGAAAGGAGATTGTAAGCCGCTCTGAGACACCTTTGGGTAGTGAAGTGCGGCGTATAAATCCAATTTTTTCTTCTTCTTCTTCTTGGGGGGGGGGGAGTTGGTGTAGACAAGCAAAGAGGTCAGTGAGCTATGGAAAACAATTTTGTAGCCTCAGGTGCTTCTCCCCATTTTTCATGATTTGTTGTAAAAAGGGGGATTGGTGCTACCTGGTGGGGAGGGGGCTCAGTCCTGTGACTAGTTAATATCACCCCTCAGTTCTTCAGAAAGCGCTTACCCTGCGAGAAATTTTGTTAGTCTGCAAGGTGCTACTGGACTCTTGCTCTTTTCTACTGCTGCAGACAGACTAACAGGGCTACCCATCTTGATCTTGTTCCTCTTTTTATATCAGAAAGTGTTGTTATGTGGGGGTTGCATCCTGTGGCTATCAAGGGCCGTGTTCACTCAAACTCTTCAGCTGAGCAAATTCCTTAGCAATCTTTATTCCTGTGCTGTTCTTTATTTAAAGGACAGTTCAGTGTGTGAAGGCTGTCAGAAAGTTTGTGTGACTGTGCAGTGACTGAAAGCCCATTACTGAAACGAACTACTGCACTACACTGGCTCTGGCAGCTACCCAGACATGCCCTACTGCTGTTTCTTGGGGTGCCTCTGCTCTTTACTGTACAGAAATTGATTGCACCCAGTCTGAAGACCAGAACAAAGGAGAACTCTGGAATTAGGGTTGCCAACAGACCTGGATACAAGTGTCCTGTCCTGTGTGGAAAGGAGCAGCAGACGCTTTTTATGGCATGGAGGTAAATAACATCTTATTAAGCCATTGTTAAAGGAACAGGGCATTTTTCCTCCAAGTAGTTGGCAACCCTACCAGGATATCCTCACAATAGGATCTGCCTTTGTTTTCTTTGGATGGGACTAACCATAGTGGCTGCAAGTGGGACCATATCAGGAAGAAAGAGAAGTGGCCTCCACTGTATTAATTGGACTGTGGCTTCACATAGTCCCCTGGATGGAGATACTTCTGTGCCTTATTTTAACATATTTTTGTGTTGCATAAAAACATCTAATCCCTGTATTTAATCAGAGCATAGGTTCCTCTAGTCCAGCATTCTTTTCCATCAGTGGCCAACAAGATGCCCTTGGGAAATTTACTTGTGAGTAGAGAGGATGGAATTGGCCATCCACCCCCCCCTGCTCCTAGTATCTGATGATTTATTGCAGATAAATATGCACAAAGAGTGATTGTATGCCTCAAATAGCAGAAAATGAGGCAAATAAAGTCATTACTTCTCTAAATCTGTCTTTGGAAAACCTGGTTTTTAATAGCTTTTTTTTTTAACTTCCATATAATGACATCCACTTCTGCTTTGCTGCCAGAGGCAATCAAACTTTCAGGCTGTTTTCAGAGTCTGCAATAAACTATGGATTTGCTTGATTCTTTCCAAGAACTGAATGAATGAATGAATGAATAAAGAAAGTCTTAAACCATCAGTAGTTTTCATAATGACCAGGTCAATCAGCAATCATTGTTAGTTCTATAATGGCCTGCTTTGTGGGAAGAATAGTGTTCTGTCCTTTTATGATGAGCACTTTGCTTTGTTAGTGCTACTTCTTGTTCAGTGCACTTAAATACCTGCTTCATTTTATTCTGTATTGGTGGTTCACTTGGCAGTGTGATCTGTGGAAATGTGATTTGTTTTAGGATATATTGTGTCTTTTGTGTGTTAAACTGTATGCAGCAAAACTGTAGCTACATAGTTATGTTTTTACTTATATCAAACCTGTTTGGGTGTATACATGTACACATCTCCAGTTGGATCTCCAATTGGGACAGCTGCCAGAGGAATACATCTAATGTGCATAAACACATAGAATTGCCAGTGCTGGACTTGGAGGATAAGGGTATGGCTTTTTCCAGATGGAGACAGGCTTGGTGTTTTCCTTGCTGCTGTGGTTCTGGCACAGTGCACTGGCAATGAGATGTCCATACAGCAGGTTTCCCTGTGTTTTCCTTGCCCTTAGTCTCCTGGCAGTGACCATCCCCACCCCTGCACCAAAGCAGATTGTTCAGGTTTTAACACAATTATATATAGTTAGATCATTATAACACTATATGGAAAGAGGTTCTCTGAATTCCTAGCTTTCATTTAAAGTAAAGGAAATCTCTAGCTCCTTTTGTTATGGAGATAAAACTGGGAGCGGTGGCGCAGGCAATACAACGGCTGCTTTAACAACAACACTCGAGCAGCCACTATGGCTGTTCGAGACCACCGCGGTCGAGGTGAGCTCTCGACCCGAGTCCCAGCTTCCGCCCACCCAGCGGCTCGAAAGCAGAGTAACCGATGCAAGTAGAGACATGGGTACCCACCC